CCGGCCGACCGGCAGCTGCTGCGCTCGTCCGTAAAACTTGTCCCCAGATACCGGTGAGCCAAGCGGGGTGACCACGGGAGCGTGTGTCCTCCTTGCTGGCAGGACACCCCCCCCACCCCAAAGCCTGTCAGGTCCCCCGCCCCGGGAAGGGGATGTCACCGTGCGAGGTGATCACGTAAAAGATAACGAGGTGATCACGTAAAAGATAACGAGGTAGAAGAGGGAACTAAACCCTGAGCGCACCCTGGCACCAGGAAGGCTAAAGCCTAAAGCCATCCAATTTGTACACGGAGTTGCAAAGCTGTGTTAAATTGCCGTGTGCCGGTAGACCGGACTAGAAACAACCTTGTCTGACTCCGCTTAATTGCTGACCTAGGAAAGAAACAGAGCTGCAAGGGAGAAGAGCTCGCCCCTCCTGCACACAGGGACCAGAAGAGACGTGTTTAGCCGTTACAAGTTCCGATACGCTCACGGGAGTACGTTCTGCTCTTCTCTGCGGAGCTGCTACTCGCACCTGAAAGCGGTCACGCTCGAAGCAGTGACGGGGCGGGAAAAGCTTTTAGGTGCGAGAGGGAGAAGTTCTTTTCGATTCATTCTGCAAGGCACAATGAGAATAGTTTTCTCAAGGATGTGAAGCCATTGTGCGTGGAATTGTCTCCTGTACCCCCATCTAGATGTTTATTAAAGTGTGTAGAATAATGACACAACCCGCTGGAATTTCCTTTTTTTTTTAATAAGAAACTTCAGCTTACAAAAACAAGGTGTAAAAAGAGTAAAGATTTACAAAAAAATCATAAAAACATGATTTATATTTCACACCCGAAAGACAAAGGAACGAGTCCAGTCCTGGGTTGTAAGCAGGACCCATCAGCTACTTATTCAAAGGAAAACCAAAACTGCGACAAGCCCTAGGTAAACTCTAACCACCAGAAGGTTTCCTGGGTAACGTCCGGACGAGAGAAAGCTGGGACACGGACTGTAAAGGAACGATGACTCTGTGTGTGGGGAGAAGAAGCCATTTGGTGTTGCATAGCATTTTAGTGCCCCGGACTGAGACCACAGCTTGCCGTTCCCAACTTTAAAAGTCCAGCTGTGGGTGGTGAAGCTGTTCGGGGGACGGTGGAAGCGCCACGTGAGGCTGACGTGGGAGCTGCGGCTGGGATTTACTCGTGATACGTTACGCGACAGCTCCTCCCAAGATGCTGTTTGTGGAGCAGAATAACTTCCCAGCCCTGAGCGTTACGGGAGCAGGACTGCAACATGGCTTCAGATTCTTTGGACGGTTACGCGCGGGTTTTTAGTTTTAAGACATTCTTCTGAAGTAGCGCTGCCTCCACGTTTTGTGACCGAGAACTGCCCCCTTACCTGCCCCAGAGAGAAACTCATTCCGCTACCGATACAGATTCTTAAAAATGCTGTGTTCAAAGCGGGTATTTTAACGTCCTGTAAAGAAATGAAGGTCTTTAGAAGTATGGATAATCCAAGTTATGCAGAAGCAGTTTCTGCAGGAAAAGGGGATTAATTAGAACATTTAAGTCATTTTATAGTTAATCTTGGTTTTGATTTAGAACACACTAATCCCCTCCCGAGGCCTGGGTTCAGGCAAGGGGCAGTTCATGCAGTTAAGTACATAAGGCTGCCGTAGGTGACTTACTGGATGGCGTCTTAACAAACCTTGACTAAAATAAAAGCTGCTGAGCCCGCGATTAGGAGCGGTGCTTCTAGTGCGCTTGCACCGAGCCGCGAGACAGCTGGACAGATTGCCAGAAACGTTCGGTAATTAATTGGATTCTCTTGTCACTTGCTGCTGCCTGGGAGTGTCCTTGAAGCAAAGGCAGCCTCATTCATGAGCACAGCATGGCGTACATCAGCTTAAGTCATTAGTGACGTTAAGTACCAGAAACTTGAAGCAGAAACTAGAGACTGTTCTGACTTAAAGCCCCCCCCCCCCCCCACACAAAAAAACAAAAAATAACGTCTCTATCGTAAGTGTATGCCACAGTCCAGGGTTAGGCAGACTTAAACCCCCCCCCCCCCCCGAAATCACTGAAAAATCAGGAAACCCACCCAAGCTCCAGCCTGGCTCCTCACCCAAGCAAGCGGCGCAGCATTTCACTCCTGT